ATTTATATATATATTAGATTATTTAATATTATTCCACAATTCCCTGAGGCTTTGCTTATTTTTAAAAAATCTTTATTCTCATTGCATCAAATAATTATTATTGATCTCAGTTTAAGTTCACTAATCTTTCAGGTTGTCATTTTGACTCTTCATGTAACATCACCTAGTGAATTTTCCATTTCAGATGCCATACTTTACAGTTCCAGAATTTTCATTTAGTTCTTTGTAACATTTTCCATTTTCTTGCTGAGATTCTCCTTCTTTTGAGTCATGATGACCATGGTTGTTTGTCTTCCTACATCCTTGGACATATTATGAGAGTTGTTTTAAAATTCTTGCCTAAAAATTCCAATATCTAGATCACCTCAGGGTCTTTTATAATGACTTACTTTTCTCTTTTTTACAGATATAATTTTTCAAAAATTTCTTCATATATTTAAAAAATTTTAATCAAAAATTTTAATAAAAAATTTTAAACATTGCATATTTATATGTCATAGAGATTCTAGACTCTTCTTCCTTTAAGCAGAGTCTTTGCTGTTGTTGTTTGTTCTATGAGGTAATTAAGTTTTTGGCAGATCAGCTTGAATTTGTGAATGCTTAGTGTCAGGAAATGTCTGTTTCGGCTCTTTCCTGGGTTTTAGAGGAAGTCCTTCACTCTAAAGGCATGGTCCTTTTGGGGTTTCAACAGGAAAACCTAAGATGTTTATGAAGTTCTTCTAACGTGGGTGGAATTTAAACTCCAAACTCTACAGGTAGTAGCTATAGGCAGTCGACAGCAGTTAAAATTTCTGATCAGCCTTTTTGGCTTATTAGTTATTATTTTATTTGTTATTATTTTACACTTGGCTCATTGACGTCTTCCTCACACATATACAGTTTAGGGGTCATTTAAGAATTGATGAGAATTTATATACTGACTTGGGGAATCTCTATGGTTCTTTTCTTTCTGGAATTTTCTCCCATATTTCCTAGACACTCTGTCGGTCCTGAGCTCCATCTTCTGACACCTCAAGCCATTACCATTGTGGCTTTTCCCTTAATCCTAGCTATTCTTCATGAACTGAGGAATGCTCTCCAGGGAGGAGCTACAAAGATACAGTTTTCATTCAGCCCAGTTCCCTTTCATGAAGGATCAATTTCCCTTGAATGTCTGCTTTCTGTTAGATTATGAAATAGTTTTTTATAATATTTTGTCCAGAGTTTATAATAACTAACTGTAGTAGAGTTAGTCTTATATAAGCTCTTCCATTATTAATGTAACTGGAACTGTCACAGATATTTTATGTTTGTGCATGTGTACGTGTGTGTTTGTGTGTGTGTGTGTATGTGTTAAGATTAAACTGCTCCTTTCATCCTCCTGAATACTCACGGGATCATTAAATAATATATCCTTAAAGATCCTTAGGTGCTGTCCAGACTATTCTATCCTACCAAGCAATGACTATCTAAAACCAGTCATGATTAAATCTCCTATTTTTTTAAGGAGACCAGCGAGGAAAAAGGCTTCTTTGAGAAATGAACTCTCCTGTTCAGAGACTTCCAAATCCACACTTTAATTTAAGCCCATAGGATGGCTCTAAATAATCACGGGGTCATAGAATTATGTAGACAGAGGTTGTACAGGCATTACTGAAGCCCCATCTGCCTCATCACAAATACGAGAGACAGCGCTTTCCTAGTGCCTGTTTTATCTCCAATTTTCTTTGCTCCTCTGCACTCCTCTCAGCTCCCATAAAGCCCAGTATTTATTTATTTATTTTTGTCTGTTTTACTTCGACTCTCTCCTCTTGTTCCATTTTCTGAAATCTGGATACTTCTGGTTCTGCCTACCTGGCTTCTGAATCATTCTGATTGCTCTGACCCTAAATGTTAAGAGATGAACTGGTTTTCCCTCAAGTTCCTATGGTGACGTCCTAACTTCCTTATTTGGAGATAAGATCTTTACATAAGTAATGAAGGTAAAATGAAGCCATTTCATGGGTCCTGATCCAATATGATTGGTGTCCTTATGTTAGGCCATAGGAAAAGTCATGACACATTTTTGCATTAAAAAAAAAAAACATGTAAAAATACTTTTCCAATGACCCAATTAAAAAGGACCAGAGACAGCTATGCACAGAGAGATGATGATGTGAAGACACATAGGGAGAAGTTGACCGTCTACAAGCCAAGAGGTCTGGAATACAGCCTTTCCTCATCCCTCAGAAAGAACCAAGTCTGCCAATACCCTGATCTGGGACTTCCAGCCTCCAGATCTGTGGGAAATAGATTATTAAGCCACCTCATTTATAATACTTTGTTAGGGCAGCCCTCTCAGAGTAAGACAATTATAACCTAATAAACAATTTGGTCCCAGATTTTTTTAGACACACAGTTTTGGTTCATCTCTTGAGACCCACATACTCCTCAGTATGGGCAAAACCTAGAAGATTTATGGTTTCATTGGTTACTTAAGTTGAATAAACTTTTTGATCCTCAGATTCCTTTTCTAAATATATGGAGATGTTTCCTCTTCCCCACCATCTAAATAAAGCTCAAATGAGGTACTACATGTAAGAATGTAAAATGGTACACAAATCTAAGATATCCTCAGTCTCACTCTTTATTCACAACCCTCTGGACCTCTTGCCTAATTATAACAGAACCACTGTTAAGACAGATTTTGGAGAGCTTCCAAGTTCAGAATTCTCTTCTTTTGAAATTTTAAAGAATTAAATTTTGCCAGAGGGCACATGTGCTCATGAGAGACAGAGCAAGCAAAATAGCACTCCCACACACACCCCACCAGGGGGCAAGGTCAGGCTGCAATTCCTTCTCCATTGCTCTCTCCTTTCAGGATTTTTAGGATGCATGCACATGTGCCCAGGGTATTTTTCCAGCCGCCAAGTCTGGGATTCAAACCGCGCCATCGACCATGTGGAATCTAGCCTTGCCTTAATTACCATGTCACCAGTTGGCCCCAGAATGCTCCACTTTTAAGAGCGATCCTTGCAACCTTAGATTTTCTTTCTGTTATTTCAGTTGCGTTGTCAGAAAAGTCATGACGTATTTTTCTATGCAAACATGTGTCATGACTTTCCTGATGATCCACTAGTTCAAGAGGCTGGATGTGGGGGCAGATGACTATGAAACTGCTTTGTTCAAAGCAGGAGGAATGCGGGTGATGCTGCAAGCTTCCACAGTTCTTTTATCTCCAGATGGCTTAGAAGTAATCTCTCGGACAACTGTTTGTTATTATACATGCTGTAAGAAACAAGCTACTGAGTAATAGAAACTAATTCTTTCAGGGAATGGAAGTTTCAGAAACACATAGAGAAAGGACAACTTTAATGGCACATCAAGCTGCATTAACAAAATCGAGGCCTACTGACTGTGATTTTTCAATGTAGGATGCTAGCAGCCTTCCAATCTATTTTGTATGTTTCTTCGTTTGTCAAGTGATTTTGTTGAAGATTTGACAAAAAGTTGTTTCTGCAATAATTAACTTTTATAAAATAATTTATTAAAGAAAATCTATGTTACTCCCAAAGAGCATGCATTCTAGGTGCGCAAGTTCTTATCCAGTCTCAATGTTACTCAAAAGAACCGGATTTTTCACTGATTCCACCCTTTTCAGTTCTCCAGAATGCCTCCAGATGGCATTAAAATCCCTTTTCCATTCTATTCTGCGGCATAAAAATATCTTAAAATTAGTAATACTTTAACCTTCATGATTAGTCACATCTATTATATCATCAGAAACCACGGCAATGGAACTATTTAGAACTTTTAGGGTAAGGTCTTAAAAAAGACAAACATATAATCATATCTCTTATGAAATACATACCTAACCTTGTTTAAGCCAAAGGGATTTTGTAGATGTAGAAAAAGATCTTGGATAAAATATACACTCAACATCACACCATAAACTGATTTCTGGTGGCTATCACATTAAATGCACAGTAAATAACCAACATACAATGAATCCACAATGCCTCTCTTATCATAAGAAACCACAGCTTAGAAGAGATAAAAATAAAAAAAAATTTTAAAGGAGCTATTACTGATTCCTGTGGAGTCAAAGTCATTTGTTAGCTAATGGGTTATTTTATTTAAATGTTTGTACATCAATTCAGCATCAAATTAATCATTAAAAACAGATTTGGATTCCTTGAATACTGAAGAAAAAGATAAAATAGAGAGGAACATATGTTTTATAGTGACTTTCCTTATCTTTTTAAAACTGTTTTTGCTTTAAAGCAGCAACAAACTCTTGAGAGTCCAGAGATAGCTACAATCCTAGAGTTGAAACATTTATTTGTTTATTCTTGCCAGAGGTCATGTTGCCCACCAGGGGAAGACAGAGAGAGGGAAATTAAGAAATCATCCCCCACTGCCCCCAAGGGGAATGGTCATGTATAATCCCTTCTCCATTTCTCCCTCCCTTCAGGATTTTGGGCATACATGCATGCACACGTGCCTGGTGTTTTTCAAGTCACCAGATCTGGGACTCAAACTGCACAGTTGGTCATGTGGGATCCAGTCACCTCAACCACCATGCCACCAGCTGGCCCTTTGTAATTGTATCTTTCACAGAACTCAGAGGTAAAGATGAGATGCTTCTAAAATGACTTTGGTATTAAAGTGGTGTGTGAAGTGATTATCTCCCAGTAAGTGAAAAGTTCTGTAATGCTTTGGGTCATGCAGAAAGTCTCTAAACAGACTCTAAAGGTTTATCTCCCTTTCCCTCCAATGCTTACCCTCAAATTTCATTAGTGTTCTCCGGCATAAAGAAGAACATCTGCATTTTCAGAATTTCTTTTACCATGTTCTAGCATAAGAAAGACTTACAAAAAATACATCTGTACCCCAACGCATTTAAAAAGACCATTATCACGAGAAAAGAGAACCAGACTCCCTTCCATTCTTAGTACTGCTATTCCAAGAGACACACTGCTTCACTTTATAAGCATATTAAAGAACGGTCATCTCCCATAGGAACTCGAAAAGAGACTTACGATGTATGCGATGTGCCATTGTCTGGGCTCTCTGGCTCTGCATCACCTTTCTCTTAAAAAAGAAGCAGAAAAACAAAACAGAAACAAAAACAAAAAACACCAGCATGTGAGTTTTACAGTCTTTTAAGATTTAAGATAGATTAAATATATTTCCACGTGTCTATTAAGGCTCTTTAAAATGTGCAGCAGGTGGCTTTTAAAGCATCTTTTATTGTCTGAGAACCAGATTTGTGAATCAATTTCTTCTTTGCAATACAATCGCCCAGACACAGCGCCATGAGTGGGTGCAAAAGAGCTATTTGCAAACAACCAGAGGCTTGGGCCGAGGTCTTGCCAGGAGATGACTATCTCACAGATGGAACCGGTTTCTTCCACTTCATTTTACAGAAAAGAACCCATTGGCATTCTATCTTTTAGGTGCTTTAAACTTTGATCCCTTCTGCTAATATGAGCCAAACCAGGTTAGGCTGCGTCAGAAACTTGGAGGAGAGAATTTTACAGAATGCTGAGGTTGAACCATAGGTCATAAGAGCCCCCAAGAATTACACTCCATGGAGAGCTCTGACAGCCAGTTTTGGGGCCTTTGAATTAAAATAGAGTAAGATGTAAACCAGAAATTTTCCTTGACCGTTAGGGAGAATACAGAGGCCTGGACCAATTCACTTTTCTGTAGTTTTAAAGGGCAAATTCCTCTTGCAACTGGCATGATGCAATCCTAATTCTCAATCATGCCTCCTAATTTTACAAGGCGCTTATTTTTTATTTCTTCAGGCTCAGGGATGGAAGGAAAGCGTCATGACTGAGAGGAAATGTTAGCTGCTGCTGTGAGTTGTGAGTTGCAGAAGCCCTAGAGAAGGTTGTGAGTTTCAAGAATAGGACTGGTGGTGACAACCTGACTCTTCTGAGTAAAGTCTAGAGATCTGTTGGACTCACTTGGCCACTGTTTGGACCTCAGACCCATGCACTGTACCAAGGCCCTTTCATTAACTGTCAACGAGAACTTGTGGTCACCAAGTCTCAGAATGGCCCCATAAATTACATAATGAACACATTTGATGTCACTGTCCACACTGAACTCAATAGCATTCTCGTACAGGAGTAAGTGTGAGAAGTATTAATAGAATACAGTTCATATGTTGCTCCAATAGTTCATATGCTGGTGTCAGAGACGACTGCACCATGCACCCACACAGTGCCCACACAACCAGAGGGCAGTCACTTTTTCAAAAAGCTAGTAGGTTTAGGGGAAAAATAAAAAAAGGCACTAAATCTACTTTAACGGCCTCAACTAACAAACATTGATTAGCCAGGCCCCGGTACTTATGAAACCATGTTGAAATAAAGGCAAAGGCAGCAAATTAATAAACTTGCTCTAAAGCTCCTACATTTCTGTTTTGTTTTCTAGGCCAGGTCTGTGGTGTGCTCATTTAGGAAATGCATAAGGCCTGGTCAACTGGCTTCAGTGTTAAACAATAACCCAGTATAGGGCTAGCGGGTGGTGCAGTGGTTGTGGCGCTGGACTCTCACATGGTTGACCCAAGTTTGAGTCCCAGACCCAGAGGCTGAAAACTCCTGATAGCTGCGTGATGTGCATGTCCAAAAATCCCAAGAGGAGAATGGAGGAGAAAGGAGACTGTGGTGTGGCTATCCCCCCAGGGGGTTATTTCTCTCTCTCTCTCTCTCTGTGTGTGTCTCTGCAGAGCACATACTCCCTATGGGGAAAAATCTCTCTTAAAAACAAAACAAAACCCCAACTTAATACTTTCCAAGACAATTTTTCTATCGAGCACCCACAATTCCTGGAACACAGTTCCCAAACAGAATTATAGCACCTGCAAAAGTGAATGGAGGTTTAATTTTTCTCAAATACATTGGTTCCTCCCTTTCCCGGCTTTCATTTGGAGAAACTGGTACTTTCCCCAGGGTACAGCTGCCAGGAGTCACACCAAACACCGCTGCAATCAAGGGTGTAAAGCAGCAGACTCCCTGGTAGAAGGGAATAGGAAAGGTTTCCAAACAATTCAGGTCAGAAAACAGGAAATCAATAATGTAAGTGAAGACATTGTTTGCACGGTTGAATAAAAGTTTCACCTTGACCAATAATGTTGCCGAATCACCCACAGGTTGAAAAGACGGAGGTTTACTGCACAGTGGGCTCTGAGGGGTCAGGAGTCATGGGGTTCATGGGACACAGGGACAAAGCTACAGCTGACTATCTCTGTTCTCAGCAGCACAATGTTCTGGCAACAGAGAAAGAGAGAAGGTTCTGGCACACAGAAAGGCAACAAAGGCGCCCAAGAGGACATTTATGAATAGCTCCAGAAGGAGTTTCTCAGCAACTTCAAGGCTGATCACAAATTAACCTTTCTGGGGAAGAGTAAATTGGGATTGAGACAGGGCTTAAAGCTATTTTTGTCCTTTGGAAAGAATGAAACACAGAATTCCCCCAACATCTTGCAATTTCAAGTGATGCACTTGCTGAAATTAACTTGAAATGTGGAAGTGCCTAAGCCATTGAGAATCATAGCCTCTGTATCAGAACCTGAAGGAAAATGGTGGATACTGGCTAGAAAATTCTGAGAGTTTGCGTTTTTTTTTGTTTTTTTTTTCTTTTCTTCAGTGAGATGCTTAGGAGCTGTTTCCTTGTGACTCCCAAAGAGGACCATCTGGGTCCATCCTGGTCCTGCCAATTGTTGCCATAATTACACCATGCTTGTTGCTTTGGGAGGGAACCTGCACTGATCGTTAATAAGCCAGACATAAGAGACTGGCTCAGGTCCAGCATGGTCATTTTGTTTTTTTAAGTTAGCTATAAGTCATTGCAGGGGAGACAGAAAGAGAAAGAGGGAGAGGGGGAGGGGGCAAGGGGGAGGAAAGAAGGGGAGCCAGAGGGAGAGGAATCACCCCCCAGGAAAATGGCCATGCCACAGTCTCTTCCTTCCCCTTTCTCCTCTCAGGACTTTGGGCACGCACACACACATTCCCAGTGTGTTTTTCAAGTCGCCAAGTCTGGGACTTGAGCTGCGCTGTCAGCTACGTGGGATCCAGTCACTTTAACCACCATGCCACTGGCTGGCCTGCAATGTGGTCGTTTTACATGTGGAAGACAATTAGAGAAAGAGGGGGAGGAAATGGGCCAGAGGGAGGGCTACATGTGTATACATGCAAATGTTCATGTACAGATACAAATATATATTTTATATATATATATATATATTATATAAACATATGCATGCATTTGCAATACACACGCATTTTTACGTTGATGCTCTGTACTTGTCTATGTCTTCCACAGTGCCTGATACACACTTGGTGCTCGGTATATGCTTTTGCTCTGCTCTGTCACTAATACAGAATCCCACACTATAGTGGGAAAGAGGTTCAAGTACACCCACTGCTGAGTTGGATACATGGTAGAAAACACTCAATGGCTCCAAAAGACCACTTAAAAATTTCAGTAGCTACCTTTTTCATTCAATAAATATACTGAGGCCTTGTGTGTTGGGCACTGTGCCTGGTAAGTATAAACGATATGTAATCCATGGTCTTCAAACACTTGAATGGACTGCATCACGGGAGTGCCATACTCTCCACCAATTATGTTCTAATGCAGACTGATGTTTTTGGAAGCATGAATCAAAACAGACCTGAATCACACTGAATTCTACTGCAGAGGAAAGTTTTGCTACACTACAACTTTTACATATAATTACATTAAATATTATCCATGTTCATGACAACAAATATGAACACTAGAGAAAAGGCAATGACTTTGCTTACATTCGTCGATTGTTATCTCTTCGATCAATTTATTCCTAGATGTATCAAATTTAGGTCATACCTAATGATTGCTGATATGAAAGATAAGAGAAAATATTTGAGGACAGAAGTCTGGCTGCTTTTTCCTATTTTCCAAAATCCTATCCAGAGGGTCTGGAGGGAGTCACGCCCACAAACATCAACAGACCAATTTAACCCATTGATAACAGTGTTCTTCCTACATCTTGTCCCTGACACGGCATTTCTGTGATGTATACTAAGCCTCCTTATGTTTGTTAAAGTTGTTTTTTTTTTTTTTTTCTGATCTCAGCAATCTTCCTTTTCCAATCACCAATCAAAAAACTGTAAAACCCATCCATAACCTATAAGCTCCTCCCCTCCCACATGGCCCTTTTGAGCCAGACCAATGGAAACACTCTTCACTGAATTCCAAACTCTGTCTCTGACTCTCAAAATCAAATAAAAGGAACTCCTGTACCTGATCACCCCAAGAAAGGCACGATTTGCCTCCTTTCTGGGCCTAGGTCACTCATATTCTGCGTAGAAATAAACCACATTATTTTTGCAGAGTTAGTTCTTCCCTCCCTCCCTCCCTCTTTTCTTTTTTTTCTTTCTTTTCTTTTCTTTTCTTTTTTCTTTTCTTTCCTTCCTTTTCTTTCTTTCTTTCTTTCTTTCTTTCTTTCTTTCTTTCTTTCTTTCTTTCTTTCTTTCTTTCTTCTTTCTTCTTTCCTTCCTTCCTTCCTTCCTTCCTTCCTTCCTTCCTTCCTTCTTCCTTCTTCCTCCTTCCTTCCTTCCTTCCTTCCTTCCATTCATTCATTCATTTTTGGAGAGGTGCGCGCCAGAAAGACAGCAAGAGACAGAGAGATAGAAAGTGAGGAATCATCCCCCCTAGGGAGGATGGCCACGCTGCAATCCCTTCTTCTCCATTCTCCTCTGGGGATCTTGGGCATGCAGGCACACACATCCAGCTTGAGTTTAAGCCACTGGGTCCAGGACTTGAATCGTGGTCGACTACATGGGAGTCCAGTGACATAGCCATTACGCTAACTGCTGGTTCCAGTTGGTTATTTCTGTTGACATAGTTAATATATTACCACCTGCCTGTCTCTTAAAATTTTTTTTGGTTTTAAAATTATTTTTAATGCCTCTGGTGGTATTTATAACTTGGAATATTTTCAATAATCTAATTCCTGATTAATCAACTTCTTATATCTTTTTTTTAATGCTATATAAAGTGAGGAAATTCACCCATTTATTCCTTTCCACTTTTTC